TTCCTGACTTAAATTTAAAAATGAGATGTTTAATGCTGTCTTTTCATTCCAGACGCAATGAATGCCATGTTTTGACCAGCATTACAACCATTGCGAATAGCACTCTGATTTCAGGCAAGTACCTTTATTGTAACTACACCCCAGCATATTTAGAATAGTGATACTTTATTAATTGATCATTAATTACTGCTGAGAATTTCATTTGTATTAAGTCATTTGCATCAATTCATTTGAATTAAACAAACTTCTTTTGTAATAATTCCCAGGATTGAAAACTTTAATAATTTAATCATTTACTTTAATCATTTAATACTTCAATCGTTACAATCAATGCTGATAGCTAATTACTGAAATGTGTATCTGTTATCCCACTAATCTGGGGTGAGTTTCCCATTGATAGCGTAGGACTATAATAGCTGCCCACTGCTTCGCAGTGTTGTGCACTGGTGTGTTTCACATATAACAAATAATCACTTTCACTTCACTACATGTACATGTTTCTACAACTTTGTTTTGGTAGCTTTTTATGGCTTTGCTGTAGCCTACATTGAAATGTATACTAGTGTCTACCTTTTTTATCATGGATTAAATAAGATCTACTGGTATAGATTTCATCACTTAGGATTCAACACTTCTTTCGGGTCAGGTGAGATTTCGGTTGTTCATCAGTTCATTATGTGGATGGGGCAGTACAGTTACGGTATCTTCTAATGGGTCGGCTGAGTGCGTATGTTCGAGAACCATGACATGCAGGGTTTATTCGCCGCGGTTAAGGCTGTTCATGTTCTTACCACTGAATCACTCTTCTGTGCACTGTAAACAGCAGCTCAATAATTAGACATACGGGTCAAACTGCACCAACGTAATAACGTGCGACGTAATTCTGTCGTGGCTCGAGTCAGTCAATGTTATTCTGATTTTCAGTTCGGATGTAGATGAATTACCCAGGTAATGTTTTAGAAACAAATTAGTGGAATATAAAATGTTATAAAATGCTATACACAATAAATTGATAGGCGATTTATGACAAACGATAAGAATGATATGGAGCATATTAATGGTCTACATAAAGTTAACATCAGTAAGGGTTAACTTGGAATGAAAGCACAAACTATGTAAAATTCCCAGAAATACATGGGTCGTTAGTGTACCAAGTAAGCTACTGATGTTAACAGTGCGTCAGCATGACTTAATGCATTCTTTAATATTGGCACAAAGCTTAACATGAGTTATGTCAAAATAATGACTTATTATGTCGAATAACGACTTACTATCTCGTTATAATGACTTATGTCAAAATAACGACTTAATATCTTGTTATAATGACTTATGTCAAAATAACGAGACAATACCTCGTTATAACGACTTATTGTCTCCGAAAAAAAAATCATCAAATGCGGTTCAGGGCTTCCGTAGTAACAAAACATTTTCAAAGTCAAAATAAACCATTTTATGTAGATATGTAATTGAAGAAGAAAACACAATTGAATGTTTGCTTAAGTATTCGACCCCTATACAATGGTTTGTGTTCGAATGAAAAATACCTAGTCTGCAGTAGGTACTAATAAAGGAGTCTGGAACTGCCTCCGAGGAACTACAATTGGGCTGAGTTCCTGCGGTGTAAAGGCAACAAAAGTCCCTGGTCCCAGAAAAAGGTTCTGGTTCCAGAAAAAAAACATCCGGCGGTGTGAAAGCACCTCTAGAAAGACAAACTAAATTGTTTCAGACTGTCATGTGAATGAAGTCCAAGAAAAAAAATCATATGTTGAAGGGCCTTTAACAACTTGATCCTATTAGACGGTTATTTTTCTCATCACGAGCTTCATATGTTAACCTGTTCGGACTGCCTGATCACGCTGGACAAAATACAAAGGATAGTAGGGACCATCCAGATTCTGAAGGTCTGGAGTAAGCCCATTTCTATTTTTAAAACAAATCATTCAAATTAATTCACAACAGTAAAGCCTGTGTTGGGAGGTCAGACAAATGTTTATGATTATGGGTAGATCATTGTTTAAATTTTGACTGAAAAAATAAATCTCACAACTGCATGGTTATACAATTGGAGAGTTTTGTACAAAGATATTGATTTAGGCTAACTGTCGTGTTTAAATTCAAGTTGCGTATGATTGCGCGACCTGAGATGGAAGGATATCCCATCCAGGCTAGGCGGCAATTAGCCGATCTTAAAAAGTGATTGCGATAAAATTTATGTTGATAATGATGATATACTTCTCCCATTTTTACAAGACATGGATAGATCACACAGCAGATATAAACATAACTACAGCCAGTCAGTCTGCGGTTTTTTGCCTTGCATGTCGAAGTAAAGACGGCTCCAGGAAAAAGAACGAATAGAACCGGCGAAGGATAGCAAAGCGACAGTGAGAGTGAACTTGCGTTATCTGGAAAAGATGAGGAAATTCTTGACAAAAAGGTCACTACGTCAATAATATGGAAACGTTTTGGATATTTTAAAAGCGGTGAAGTGCAGATTAAGATGGTCTGCAAAATATGTTGTTGGTCGGTGCCAACCAAGACGAGAGAAACAACAAACCTCCATCAACTGAATAGCTACCATCCCAGTGACCACGAGAGTATGAAAATATGGGTCCATGTTAGTCCACCCACAAGTTGTAGTAGCCTTATCGGAGCTCTACCAACAACAATTAATTGTGTAGCACAGTTAAATGTTTTAGTTATGTAACTCTAAAGGCATGTTCACGCTAGGCTCGATTCAGCCAATTTAACCAAACCTATAGTTTGGTTTCTCTGGTCCGTATCAGTTGATGAGTAAGCCTGCCAGACTCCAAGATGAGGCTGTTTTGGTTTTGGGTTTTGTACGTAATGTGTGAGGAACTTGCAGACTTAGGTGCGGCTGCTGATCCTAATGTGATGTGGGAGACCTTCCGTGACAAGACCCTGAAGGTTGCTGAGGGTTGTGTTCGTGTTGCTGGTGTTTCCAGAAGGATGACCCTGGATTTTATCTAGTGGAGTCGCAGTGTATGGCTTGATAGCATCTCTGGTCTGTACTAAGAACTGAGATGGACAGCTTTGTTAGCGGAATTTGTGAGCAAGTGACCAGCATTACACACATCCAAATTTGTTCCTTGGAGAGTCAGATGAGGTGATGGAACGGTCCTTACGGATGATGCTGCAGTTGTGACCCGCTGGGACAGGTACTTTAAATAGCTGTTTAAAGCTGATCTTCTGGCTAGGACATTAGATATCTCTGAGCCCACAATTGTAGAGGCTGATCCTCTGATTAGATGTGAACCATCCAGTGTCACTGAGATTGTACAAGTAGTGAACCAGTGGGGGGTACAGAAGGCTGCAGGCATCTGTGGTATCCAGGGTGAACTTCTCCAGGCTGGTGGTAAGGCTGTCGTCCTGGCATTGCAAGCAATCTTTGCCTCCATTTGGGGGACAGATGTCATTCCAAATGACTGGCAAACTGCACTCAGTGTCATGTAAGGCCCTTGCTAGGGTCATCCTCAACAAGATCTGTGATCACTTGCTCTTCTAGCAGTACCCAGAGCAGTCTGGTTTTATGCCAAAAGAAGTCTACCATTGGCTGCATACTGGCACTGAGGGTTCTTATCGCGCGCAAACACGAATATCGTCAAGGTTTCTTTGCAGCTTTTGTTGATTTCCGTAACGCATTTCACTCAAGTCGATCGAGCAGCCCTGTGGGACATCCCGAAACTTCGCAAGATCCCCCCAAAGTTGCTGTACGTCATAGCGGCCCATACAATGGTACTGTGAGTTCTGTGCAGAGTGGATTCAGAACCTCTGCATTCTTCCCACTGGATTCTGGGGTTTGTCAAGGGTGTATTTATACTCCTACTCTGTTCAATGCTTGCAAGGACTGGGTTTTGGGACGGGTCATGGGGTGCATTAGCTGCGAGGCATCTGTGGATGAGAAAAGGTTTACTGATCTTGACTATAGCGGTGATGCTGTGATCTTCATGGAGTCATTGGAGCCTCTGATCAGGGCTCTTGAGAGCCTGAGTGAAGAGTCTAAGTGTCTGTGTTTGGGAGAGTCCTGGATCAAAAGCAAGAATCAGGCCTTTAATGACCTCTTTGTCAGTTGTCAGCAGAGAGAATGTCAACCTCATGCAGTGTTTCACTTACCTTGGCAGTGACATTCATGTCTCTGGTGACTCTTCCTATGAAGTTAGTAGATACATTGGGAGAGTATGGGGGTGATTGTTCAGGGAGTCCCAAAAGAGACACATTACCTACATTGTGAGGGAGTGTCAGTTACAGCATTATGACCATGTGGCGCAATTCCTGGAGGGTGATCCGGCTCGCAGGATCCTTACTGCTGACGACCTGAGCAGCTGGACCAGGCCAAGGGGACGCCCACGTAACACGGCAGGTAGATGGTCATTTCCAGAGGATGGGACTAGACCCCATCAGTCTAGGGGGTGGGCGAGATATTTCTTTGTGTGGTGGGCGCAGCAACGTGCTGCACCAGTGCATGCGCCCTGACTTGACTCTTTAATATTCAACTTAAAAAGCATCATATGAAGCATTTGCAATCTGGTATCATTAAACATCAGAATTTTTAAGGAGTTTCGAAACGGTATCAAGTTACTCAGTTCCATAGGTATCTTAGTTATAACAGTGTTATATGCAGATTTACATGAATTACTAAGGGAGAAAGCTTTAGTCAAGACAGTCTTGCAGCACACCAACCACAGACGGAGTGACAGCTTCAAGTATCTGACGCAAACTTCTAGAAGCCTTTTGAGGAGCATAGCCTAGAAGAACATGCTTCCACTTCTGCATCTTTTCAGGTAACAACTGAGCTCCACCAGTCATTCAGCTGGAAGTCCACCGATAGGATCAAACTTTCAAGCCCAGATTAGATCACCAAGCTTATACTCCTATGAAGGTAGAACTTGATACACTGAGCAGTTGTTTGAAATAAACAAGAGTTTACACATTGCTCTGGCCTCCTTTGGTGTTCAAGACAAAAGGACAAGACTTCCTCAGACAGTCCTCTAACATTTTATTTTTTGCCCATAGTTTCATTGAATAATTAAGCAAATATTTGACTTACATGTCCTTTTGTTTACATGGTGTATCTGTTTGCTCGTACTCTTCTGGCCTTTTAGGACCAACCTCGCCATTTAAAAACAAACTTTTTTGAGAAACGATGAGGAGCCCGAGTTGGGAGCCCTTCCCGAGGTGAAGGATCAGGTAAACCGCTACGGGCTGTCGGGGTCAGTCCGAATGGGCCGGGTGCCTCACACCCTTAGCAGTAAAACCTTTTCACAATGAAAAGTCACATACATAACTATAGCAATTTCGTACACAAAAAAGGTGCAAAAACCAGTCTTGGCTGTTTCTGCTGCAAAACTCCCGAAGTGTTGTGAATGAGATGACGTTACAGAAACAGTCTATTCACAGTTATAAAGAGCTGTACCTACACTCAAAACACAATTTAAAAAAGAATTCTACAAAAAGCAGTTTATCATGATAAATGATAAGAGTGCATATCATGTAACGTGTACCTCAAAAACATGGTTTTCATGCGAATTGGTGTAGCTACACTGTATATAAGTGTACGCCTACATATGCATGTACAAAACACACACATACTGGTAGCAGTACATCTTCATAAGCGGGTCCTTCAAAGACCCAACAGGAACAGACTGGACAGGTGACTACAGGCAGATTTGGCACGGGACAGTTTCAGCACGTGGGAAGCATTCAAAAAGCTTTTCTTAAGCAACCGACTACTTCGAAAATTTTACAGAGTTGAATACATTTTTTAGTTGAATCCTCTGAGGCTAAATTACAAAGCAGCTTTGAGCTCGTGCCTCAGTTCAACAGTACGGTTTATAAATGCCAATAAGAGCACTGGACCAACTTTAGAGGCCTGCCCGTATTTTGCCACGCCACACGCACGTGCGAAGGTCCTCGTTCACACCCGAGTCACCTGTTCAATCTTGTGTCTAAACCGTGACGCAGCCTCACACGCTGCCTCATTCCAGCCTCGAATGGGACCGACGGAGGCAACTCCCGAGTTTTTCCACGTAAAAACTCTGACAAGTACCTCCAATGCTCACACCCCCCAACCCCCCTGCACTGTCACCATCTGACACAATACTAAAGAGTCTAACACCCTTCACAAACCTCAACACCGGCAAAGTGACATCCTGTCCGTCACAGCACCGAGAGTGAAGGATTTCCGCAGTTAAACATATCACTCTACCTGACTCAAATTAGAATAAACGAAAGAAATAAGACAAGTTAACTATTCATGGTACGACTCGGTTACATGTTACAAATCATAATAATTAACTTGTGTTAAACAAAAAGGAATGTACTTATCGAATAAACAGACATGCTGAAATGCATCTATGGCCTTTCGCAACATTTGGAGTAAAAGAGTTTTGGTCAGTATAGTTTAAGTCTCTGGCTCAGTAGTAACAAACCTTAAAGCTTTAGTGTCTAACCTACCCTAAACCTTCTCTCACCCTCACCATCTCTGTTACCCTCACTCTTCTCACCGGGATTCATAATCCCCTTTCCATCACATCCACCTGTGTGCTTTCTTACCTGAAATCTGTCCTCATCTCTCTACATACCTTTTTCTATCATCTCATCATTATTACTAATTACCATAGTACCCTCTCTAACTGTTAGTTAGTACTGGAACCTAATCCCACCCACTCTGCTGCTCATTTATTGCATGTAAGCAGTGGTTATACTGAGCGTCCCTCCTCCTACCCCCGTACACTGGTGTTGCATCACCTGCATGCCAGTTTTAGTGTAGTGATCCCCCCCCCCCCACCCCCAAGAATGTCGGTCACAGACATTAACATACAGCGACAGAGTCCGAACTCCCATATGCTTCTTCTCAGTCATTCAGACTGTCCTCCTCCGTGATGCCCTGTGCCCTCAGCTCCTCCAGCACGTTGTCCAGGTATCCCAGGTCCGGGTATCCGTGGCCCGTCAGGTTGGAGCCGAACTCGGTCTTGTGGTGCACCTCGTTCCAGATGACGGTGTCGGACTCGCCTGTGGTGCTGGAGGTTCCCACGGAGAAGAGCAGCCTCCGGTCCCAGGCCACCAGCAACAGGCGAAGCACCTAGAAAAAGGGGGGGGGGGATTTCAGTGAACTAAACACTACTTGAAATGCACTCAAGACTATTATAAATGGTTTGCAATTGTGTAGGGCCAGCAGGGGGAGCGATGTTTAAGGAACCATTCTTCCATAAAAGAATCAAATTGTCACTGTCACTTTGGTTGAAAGCCTCTGAAGGCAATACCAAGCAATCTAGATGGTGCATAAATCCAGTTCTTTAAAGCCTATTTCATACTTCACTTTTCTGTGTGCGCTTCTCAGGCTCGCAGGATCCTTACTGCTGAGGATCTGAGCAGCTGCGGACAGTTTGTATTCACACTGCATTGGCTGGCAGGCAGGGATGGCTGTGGTCAGTGCATGCATACAGCAGTGATACTCCACCAGACCAGCCGAGGGCAGATGTATTGCAACAAACACAAATACAAGCAGTGTACTTTCTATGTTATTCTAGGTTGGGAGGTATTAAGGTAATGACCCAGACCCATTAAGGCATACCTCTGTTTTTTGAAATACGACAAAATTTGTCGAGGACTCCCCCAGCCAATAGTAAATCACCAAGATTTCAAGATTCTGGAATAGTGCTGCTTTTAAAAATGCTGTATATCCGGGTAGAATGTCTGGACCATATGAAATATTTACATAAGCGGGTACCTCCAATTAATACAGATCCTCACCGTAACTACTACTACTACAACAGCGAGTACTCTTCCTCTACTCTTTCTTGGCTGACCTCTGCTCTGTGAAAGTCAATGCTGCCACCTACTGGAAATACCTAGTTAATTATCTTGCACATGAGCAGTAGACAAAAAAATATATGGGCTATAGATGCACCGTCCGCAGCTTTCCGGCGCAAACCCCTGATGATGAAATTTAAGTTACTTACACCGGACATGGCCCGAAAGCACACGCAGAATAGTGAAGTATGAACTGGCCTTAACTGTGCTTGTACCTGCTGGATGTCGTGAGGGAGACGCCCACGAAAAGGGGGTCCTACCTTGCGGCCCTTATCACTGTCAGGGAGGTAGCAGTGTCGAGGGAACCCCCTGGCTGTGAAGGGCTTTCCTGGGTTAGGGTGCTCCGGACCCTGTGGAGGGAGAAACAGGTACGTTAGATATTGATACTTCAGCTTTAAAGACTATATATACCCACCATAAACCCTCAAAGTGTCTGTGCAAGTGAAAGAGACAGAGAATCCCTCTCAACAACCCAGTGAGTGGGATCATCATGGGCGGCCAATCACCAGCAGATCAGACTCGCTTCCAATTGGCTAGTTCCCCGGCAGTGATCGACAGCGCATGATAACCCATCTAGACATTCCCACTCTCCTTTATCCTATCACTATCGCCTGTACTCCTCAAATGAACCGAGCAAGCCTGCCCTGGTACCTGGATGCCAGGAGTGATGGTGTAGATGATGCGGATGGTCTTGCAGTCGGGGTGGCCGGGCAGCGAGTGGGGTATGACGTGGTACTCCATCTTGCCGGGCGGCTGGTTGCCCGTCTTCACGCCGTAGATGGTCTTGCAGGTGGGACACTGCAAGCTACCGTCTCCGTTGCCGTTGCTGTACATGGCGACCAGGCACTGCAGGTGGTACTGGTGGCCACACTGCACCAGGCGGCCCACCGACTCTCCCCGTGACACCCCTCCCACGCCGGGGCCTTTATACCCAGAGGGGCCCCCCAGGGGTTCCATGCAGATGGTACAGTCCTGGGGTGAGAGACAGTGAAAGGACAGGGTGTTGGACTCAGTACTTTTTACCAAAGTTAAACGTGAGGCAGCTCCAGATTTTAAGGCAACATAAAGCACTTTATCTAGAATTTTATAACTTACATTTCATTCATTTATATTCGCTTTTATCCACAATGACTTACAATGGAGGGAACGGTTAAAATGTGTGTGTGCTTCTTGGGATGACTTGCAGGTAATCTCATTAATGCCGTCTGTGTGGTGAAGTTTTTACCTTGTCAGGCTATTATTTAGATATTTTTAATAATTGGGAAATTTTATATGTAACCTAGGTCAGTCTTTCTCAGCCTGCTCTTCAGGGACCCCCCCCCCGCCCCCCAGATGATCCACATTTTTGCTCCTTCCCAGCTTCCTGCAAAGACACTCCAGGCTTACTCACCTCCTCGGGGGGGTTCCGCACCTTTTGCAAATACTTCTTCACCACTTCCTCCGGAGTCCTACCTGCAGCACAGAGACGAGTGTTACGGCACGCCGGCCACACGCCGGCCGCACGCCGGCCGCACGCCGGCCGCACGCCGGCCACACGCCGGCCACACGCGCGGCACGTCGAGGCCTGAAGGTGGCGCTGTGCGGCGCCTCACCTTTGCGCGCCTGCTTCTTGCTGGTTTTGCGGCAGCAGTGGCCCAGCCCGGGAATGGGCTTGATGTCGCTCTTGCTGACGGGCGGCGGGTGCAGCACCAGTTTGGGGGGACGGGTGAGACACACGGGAAGCGCGGCGGCACTCATCAGGATACCTGTAATACCTGACAGAGACCGTAGGGGGAGACTGTGAGACAAACAAGCATGTATGCACAGCTAAGACCGATGACTTCTATAGTGTGTATTTCACATTCTTCCATCCCATTGTCCATCTGCCCACAGCTGTTTGCGATTCTGTGAGCTAACTAATCAGCCGATGCCATCGCCCCCCCTCTTACCGGCGAGTGCAGGATGGACGGGACTTGAGCCATTAAGGTTCTTCACTGGGACTGTGGGCACCCTGAAACACAGCAGGCACAGTGTCAGAATGGCATCTCATGCACACACACACACACAGCACCTTCAGGGCTAGCCACACAATAACACACAGCTCATCCAGGCATGTTTGTCATGAAGCAGATCTTCACCATAAGTGGGAAGATCAGACGCTGAACATCTTCAACTTCCGGTTGAATGACTAATTGAACCAGACCAACTGGAAGCAGATACTGAAGCTGTGCCAGACTTCTGAGAAATCACACTACAAGCCTCAGCAGTGTGGGAAACCCTGCAACACCTCCCTAGGCTCATGATTGGTTACCCAGGCTGCCACTCCCGGTGACATCATCATCATTCACAGCTATGTGCCACATTAGCAGGATAAGATGGAAACCGAACTGGGAATCCTCTAACTCACAGTCACAATCAGAACTTTATGGAAAACCTAAATACTCACTGGCATGATCTGAGAACAGTCATTCTTCAAGCATAGAGTAGAATAAAAACCCTTCTGTTCCTCTGGCAGAACCAAATATCAGATAACTTTGACTTCCAGAAGTTACTCTCTATTCTGTCGGCTTGCTGTCCGCCTCTCCTGTCTGCTCGCCGCTGCCTGTGATCTCTTCAGACCGTATCTTCCCTGTCCGCTCTTCCCTGCCACCGCCTCCGGCTCTTAAACGGCTAATCCGTGGGTCTCCATCTGTCGAGTTGCTGGGCAAGTGTCACCCCTGGGAAGGGGAATTACCTGCATGGCGTCACATCGCCGCACGTGCCTGCCCCAAGCCATACGCTCTCTGCACTTACTGAAGCTTTTTATCAGGGATTACAGTTGAAAGTCAGGGGCAAACATCTCAAAACTTTCCTCTCAAGGAAGTTTAAACACTGGTTTCACAATGAAAGACAAAAAAAAATTATTCTAAAAGGCTTGCACTTGGTGTCATCTACTTTAGAGCTTAGAAACTACACACTTCTTCATTTCGGTTAATTCAGCTTGTTGATATTTCCCTTTCTGCTGTGACCGCAGTGTTTCTCGTGAATGTGCCCCATTTGTGAGTGTGGCATGACTGTTAGCGGTGTGTTCATGCACGCGTGTGTGTGTTCTCCCTAAGCACTGCTCACAACCAGGAAGCGAAATTCAAGGCAGTACGTCTCACAGCAGTTAAGGACAGGGGCTTGTACCCTGAAGATTACCTGCGTCAAACGAATACCCTGCTGTTTGACCCTAGTTTCAGGTTAATTCAGTGAGACAGTCCAGCTAAGCAAACTGGTTAAAATGCATTAGCTAACTATTATGTATCAGCTAACAAGCTAAAGCTAAATGGAAACATACTGAAGTTACACTGTCTCTCAATCCCAAGTGTAAACAAGAGAGGAGGGGGCAGAGGGGAGCCAGACTGTGACAGAGCTTAATCACATTTGAGCCCAGCTAATCTATCTGCATTAACACATGCCTCATCTGCCTTACTGACACACATAGTGGGCAGGGTGGGGGCAGGGTGGGGGCAGGGGGGTCTGAAAGGAGAACGGGAAACGCCAGCTGCAGGGACTGGGCCTGCTGTCGTCACAGTAAAGCCATGACACTCACCCTACACCTGCCTGCTGGCCCCCGGAAACCCCCATATCTGAACGTTTAAATGCCCACACAGGCTCCATTTCAAACTTGCTTTAAAATTACCAGGATGATTCCCATGAGTGACTGGGCTTAAGCGTAGTCACTATGGTCAGTTTATGATGATCTGAAGAGGGGCCTGGCCAGAGCGAAAGTGCGCACATACACAAACACACTCACACTCAGACACACACACTCACACATCCACACTCACAGATACACTCACAGACACACACACACACTCACATACTCACAAACACGTGGATACACACACAAACACACACTCACACATCCACACTCATAGACACGCACACTCACACAGGCACACACACACACACACACACATTCACACACCCACACTCACAGACACGCACACTCACACAGGCACACACACACTCACATACATGTGGATACACACACAAACACACACTCACACACCCACACTCACAGACACAATCACACACACTCACACTCACACACACACGTGGATACACAGACAAACACACAACCCCACACTCACAGACACACTCACACAACAGGCAGGGAGAAGCCTCTGGTTTATGAGATCAGCTACTCTGCCTAGTAGAGAGAGCAGTAGAAATCTGACTATGTACACACACACCCACACAGATTTTTCCCATCCCCATGTGGAGGGCATATCTAGCACCCTGCTTCTGCGACACCCCCCCCCCCATTTATGCAACACACATTATCCGTACACGTAAAACATTTTATAATTTAATACTAATACTTGCTCCATACTTATGCACCATGCACTTTATTGCGCTCTCTGGTTTTTCTTTTATGGTATAACTTTTGATTCCTTATTACATATATATTATTATCATTTTCCTGTTTTTTCCTGTTCTTTTATTGGAATTCCTACTTTTATTACGGTTTCATTTCACTGCAGGTTGCAGTCTGACTGCACGCGACGAATAAACATCTCTGCATTTTCGAAACGCCCGTGTGCTGCCTGGACACCCAGGAGCTCAGCATGTGAACAGTAAATGCCAATTAGAGCAGTGTACTGAAAAACAATAGCCTGACAGCGCCTCTTAGTGACCATCAGCCAAAGTGTGGGTCAACCAGCTGAGGCTATAGCTAAAGTCTGAAATGTCAAGGCTCTCTTGCCAGAGTTTACATTCCTGCATCTCTCATCTTCCCACAGTTCATCCCTGGCGAATTTCTGCCTGACAAGTGTTTTTTTTAAATAATACTTCTTCTGCCGTTTTCTCTTTTGTTTGGATATTCATGCCGGGCACCTTTCTGGGGGGTGTCTGTTTTCGTTTGAGCGCATTGTCGTGGCAGCCACCTTCCCATCTGGTGAAGCCCGCTGCTCACACACACAAGTCCTGCTGCTTGCCATGCAGCCGGGACGCTTTGTCTGCGGGGAAGCCTCCACCGTGCAGGAGGCTGCGGCAGAGCCCCCTCAGCCGGCCCCCCGAAAACACGGCCCCTACCCCTCCACGGATGCCTGTGGAGGAGCTCCAACAATGAGGACTCTGCCTCACCTTCTGTCTATACTGCTTCCCCCAGCTGGCCGCCCCCACCCCCACCCAATAGCACGACCTCCCCTCACCCAAGCGGAGCAGCATTGTGTTGCAAATTCAGATGAGGCGTCGGCATGCCAACAAAGGTTTCCACGGAAACGTGACTTGTGCACACAATAATCACAGAAGGTCCCCCCCCCCACCCGGAATGAGAAATCATGGGAACGAAGTACTAGAAGGGAAAAAAAGGCAGGCGGGGGGCGGAGCGGGGAGGGGCTGAACCGCACTGACCCCAAATCCTGCCCCCCCCTCCCCCCCCCGCATATCTTCCTTCGTACACCAGCTTCTCACCAATTCCTTCACTTATATGGTCCATCCCTCCCAGATGGTCACTGCTCGGAAACCAGCTATCTGCCCCA